TGGTTTGGCTGGCTGGAGAGTTGTGGGGATCGAACTACAGCAACCTGAGGCTGACAGCTTTGTGGAAGCAGCCACTTAAACAACTGAGCTAAGGCCAGGCACCTATGTAATAGTTCTTAATAACCAATTTATGTAATTAAGATTTTAGGAGCAATATATAAATTATGGTGTAGGATAAAATTACAATCAGCTCTTTAATTAATATGTTTTTGCTCTGAATGCCTTCAGGGCAGGTTTGACTGGCTTGAGTTGTGGAAATCGAACCACAGCAACCTGAGGCTGAGTGCTTTGTTGAAGCAGCCACTTAGAGAACTGAGCTAAGGGGCAGGCCCCCCAAATTTTTTTAAAGACTGTCTTTTGTAATATTGTGCTGTGCAAGGTCCATCAACTACTGATAATTACATGTTAGTAAAATAGCCTATAAAGTAATATGTAATTCATAATCCTGATAACCTGCTTTAGTTAGACTAGATATAAGCATGCATTTCATAAATCTATTGGGACTGAATATGCATTATATAGGTAAGAAATCCATATTTTTCAAAACACCTAATAAAAATTATTAAAAATAAAGTGAGCTGTTGTAATTTTATGTAGGACAGTTTGAACTACTGCACAGTTAATAATTTGTAAGTGAAACTAATATTGTTCACACTAACAAAATTCACTGTATTTCTGCTATCAATGTCAGCAGATGAAGAAATATGGCATGGTCGACAAAACTACAGGTTTTGAAGTGGGCCAGACATGGCTTCAAATTCTGACTTCGCCATTTAATAGCTATGTAACTTAGAATAGGATACTTAACCTTTCCATTTATTGATTTCCTCATTCATCACAATGGATAATAAAAGAAATGCCAGGCAGATGAAATGAGAAAGTACATGTAGGGCATCAAGTGTAAAGCCTAACAGGAAGGTTTTAGAACTCATTTATTTTAACATATGGATTTGTCTGCTGTTGGCTTTTTGTTTGTGACAACAAAAAGAAAACTGACAGGGTAGGAGAAAATGTTATCTTTAACTTTATAATAAGACAAAAATATTATGGATCACAGAAGAATCTATATTTCTAAGAATGCAAAACAATATTATTTTCTTGTATTTGCTTCAACATTCGTACTGTAATATCAACATTAAATTTACTCATAATTAAATCTTTGCAATTCACCTTTAAATTTTTACATGCATAATGATCTGTATTAATCTACTATAAGATATACCCTTCGAATCTCACAGATAACGATGTGGATGAAATGATTTAATGAATGTGATTATGAGTACAGATACTTAATATCAATATTTAATATAAATATTGATATTGATGCATATAAATACTGAAACAATTTTCTACATAAGAATTTTATAATGTTTTCAAAAAAGATATGCCTTTAAAGTTTTAATATAAATTAAATTAAATTAACTAATACTTCTCAGCATGAATAAAATAATTCTCACCTGGGAAACCCACCTGAAACTACTATAAAGTATTTCTTACCAGCATCGCACGCTTCTCTTCATCTCCTTTAGTTTCTCTCTTTTCATTTTTTTTCCTGAATATCTCCTGAAGCTGTAAGGAGATGAATTTAACAGTTAATTCCAACACCAGCTTCAAGGTACTAATTACTATCCCGTGCCAGATATAGTCCCAAAACAAAGAAAATAATTTAATTAATCAAGAACACTTAAGCTACATGAGAAACATTTTTTGTTCAATATTTTTCCCAGGAGAAAGAAAAAAAATTGGCAATGATGATCCATACTTAAGTTAAACATGTTTAATGCTATAGATCTACTTCATGGCTAATAAAAACATGCAGTCTGGGGCTCACACAGAAATAGAGACAAAGACTATTAGAATGCTGGAATAATATTGAAGGACTTTGGGTTTGAGTCCAGCTTCTGTCACACATTAATTTTATTATATGAGACAGGCCGTTCCACCTTCACTGGCCCCCAACTTGCTCATGAAATGAGGACAGAATAAGGGCTGGCAAGATAGCTTAGCAAACTAAGTGCCTGCTTAGGCAAGCGCAGGGACAGGGGTTCGATTCCAGGCACAAGATGCCACGCTGCCCCAGGGCATGCTGAGCTGGACACTGAGACTGGGCCTGGTGGTGCATGCCTACAATCCTAGCTCTGGGGAGGCTGAAAACAGGAGGATCACTAGGAGTCAGAGCCACTTAGCAAGACCCTCTACCAAATACATTTAAAAATAAAATAAAATAGGACAGACTAGATGACATCCAGAGTTTCTTCAAGTGTGGTGGAAGAATAGACTCTGAAGGTATAATTCCTCAGCCAAGTCACTTTAACTAAGGTTTGTTTTAGATGGCTCATGAAGGTAATTCCTCACCTTATAAAATGTGGGTGATAAATATTACAAAGTACACAGCACATTGCCTGTCATATTAAGAAGTTCTCTCTAAATGTTAATTATTATTACTAGCATTATTTTCTTCCTTAAAACCCTATAATTCAAAATGAAAGCCTAATCTCACCTTTATCAGTTTCTGGAATGCTCATTGTTTTTAAATTTTATTAGTACATGTTTAATGTACATAATGGTTACATTCCTCATGAGGTATTGGACATGCACATAATACACTCTTCATGCCTCTCTCCTCCTCCCCTTCAGTCCTTCACTTCTTTGCTTCCTTCCCATTTATGTAAGATTATCTTATTTCCTATAATATTTTATTTTGTCTTTTATTTATCTCCTAGGTTTATGACATAAGAAAAACTATAATATTTAAGCTTGTGTGAATGTGTTTACATAACATTATGGCCTCAAGATGTATCCATCTCTCTACAAGTGGCTCGAGTTGATCCTTCTTTGTGGCAGAGTAATACTCCATTGTGTATAAATGCTACATTTTCTTTATCCACTCATCTGTCAGTGGACATACAGGCCACTTCCAGAATTTAGCTATTATGAGTTATGGTGTTTTAAAGATGAGTATGTATGTGTCATTGTAATATGATATTTTTAACATTGTTATCATTATTTGATGTTTTAGAAAGAGTAGAATTTCTACTTTTTAGCTTTAGAGAAATTTCTATAGCAGTTGTACCAACACAAATTCCCACCAATAGTGGAGAATTCCTTTTCCTCCCACAGCCTCTCCAGCATTTGTTATTGTTTGATTTCTTGGTGATAATCATTCCTTTAGGATAAGATGGAACTTCAGTGTTGTTTAAATTTGAATTTCTCTAGAAGATGAATGTTCATGGTTAGAATCATACTCTTTTTAATGCAAGATACATAAATCCTCTTTGGAAGTAGTATAAGTAAAAAATAAAATAAACAAATTTGTATTTAGGTGTTGAACATATTTTTATGCATTTATTGGTCACTTGTCCCTAAAATCTAATCAGAAATGGTCTCCCTGCTCTTGTGTGCATAACTTGGACAACCACTTCAATCTTTTTAAAAATACATAATAGTTTAAAGTTAAATGTTACTTCCCAAGATTTTAAACTTTTACAAATAACCAAACTGCACCTCCAGCTTTAAGAGCTATTTGCAGAAAAACAAGCAAATACCACTTATGAGGCAGCAATATACCTGAAAAGATCAGACCATAGCTTTGAAGCAAGGATAGGTTTTTGCAAGAGTGTAGAGTGGGTAAAAATAGGAGGTAAGTGTGAAAGGTTTTATCTCCCAACTCCACAGATTATATTCCAGGGGATATCTACATAAGCAACTTATTTTTTTTTTAATTTGTTAATTTTCAACTTTTGAGAGAAGACATTTCTAAATTGTCCAGGGTGGTCTCCAATTTACAATCCTTCTGCCTCATCTGCTGGATTTAGAGGTATAGGCCATCAATGACACCAGGCTACATGAGCAGCTGTGAAGGGATTAGGTTCTCCAAAAATTCATTTTTATGTCAATGGGGTAGAACTTCACAGTTTTAACACATAATTCTTACTCAAAATTACTTAAATAGGTTCTTTCTGACAGTACCCAAAATAGAGCTGTGTGCTATCAAAACAAAACTATATTAAACTTGTCTACTTTATGATGTCTACCATTTAAAGAAATCCTCCTATTGCATGAAAGCTCCCACATAACCACTGTTTTATAAAGTATTAGAATGAAGGTTCCAGTTCCAACAGTTTTTTTTTTTTTTAGTTTTAGGGACAGTTCTACAGGGTGTTCAGGGTCTCACTACTAGATCAAATCATAGTGATCTGCCTGTTTATAGCCTCCCAAGAGCTGGGCTTACAAGGCGTACACCACCACTCCCAGCCTCAATTGCCATCTTAGCATGCTGGGGGGGGGGGCAGCATGGCAGGCCCGAGGATCAAACCCCAGGCCCCTGCGCCTGCTTGCAGGTACTTTAATCCGCTGAGCTATTTGGCTGGCCCTTTTGGTCTTTTTCGAGACAGGTGACACTACGCAGTTCAGGCTGGCCTTGAGCTCACTTTTTAGCACGGGCTGGTCTCGCACTCTCAATGATCCTCCTGCCTGTCTCTGGAGTGCTGGGATTACAGGCCTGCACCACCATGCCTGGCTCCAATAGCTTTTACTTAGGGATTTCACCCAGGTAAGGGTTACATGAGTGTTGGTCTAAACTTTTTGATAAACTCCAATAATTACTCTGTTTTCTTTTTAAAGGCCAAAGGTTAACTTTTGATGAAGGCTTTTTCTTCATACCAAGCCCCCCCCCCCCCGGGCAAATCTCTTCCTGCCAAAGAAAACAATAATTTCATACAGGTCCTCTGTGTTCCACCACTGAAGAAAATTTGAGGCTCATTAAAAGGTATTTTGAAGGATTTTTAATGGTGGTTATAAAGGAAAAATAGAAAACAAAATGGTTATATTTGTTGCTGTTCTCTTTTCTTTTAACTAACAGAGTACAGGCAAAGGCAGAGTTAAACACAAATGTTAAGAACAGATCTTGTTACTTTAAGGAATACATTAATATTAATTTATATATATTTTGAACAAAAATAGAATTGGCATTTCTGGCACAGAAACATGTGGGATACGGAGGTAAAAAGAGAAAAAAAATTCTGGAAGGGGAGACAGGAAGGTAAATAACCAGTTGAAGTTGTTTTCAGACAATTCCCAATGCTAGACCAGTAAGATGAAAAATATTGAAAATGTCTTAGAACTTTCAAAAACAATGGAAGGGAACAGGGAAATAAGCCAAGATAGGAATACAGTATAAGGCAATGCCTGCAGTGAGTGGAAGAGAATGGGTAAAAGGAAAAATATGATGGAAATTCAATATTAACTCAAATATAATTTCAAGAGTATCTGACATCCATCAAACAGAAAATATCCAATACATTCCAAACTTCCAGATAGTATACAAACCACCATAATAATCTTTGTATACTAAATGAGATTTGTATCATCGTAATGCAAATGTTACTCAAATTGTATAACCTGTTATTAAATTAAGATGAGAATAAATTTTTTACTTTATTTTAGTACTACAAAACCACAAAATATAAGAAATGTTTATTGATAAAATGCAGCATACAATGTACATACCACCAAAAACTCCTTTTTATCCACCATCTCATTGCCATCAGTGTCAAACATGTTGAAAGCTATTCTAAAACCAGCATGTGGCTCTGTCATAAAAAAAATGTATTCATGAAACAGAAAGATGTTATTTTAAATCTATATTGATTGTAAACAGTTACTCTATACAGAAATACATTTTCAATAAGAAATTCAAAGCAGCATGTTACTATTAAATATATATATATAAGCTATATAGAAATATATATATTTCTGTTTTATATATTAGCAGACCTATTAACAGAATTAATAATATACTTTATTTTATTTTTGTCTTACTTAATGGAGCTGGGATTGAACCCAGGTCTGTCACATGCTAGGCAAGCTTTCTAATCCTGAGCTACACCCCCAGTTAAGCAATACATTTTAAAAGGCCTTGAGTGATCTCACATAGTACTGATAGGAAAAAAAGCTGATTGTTCTTCTAAGATTATCAAAAGACTATCAATTTGTTAAAAAGGAAAATATCAGCTTATCCCATTTGAATTTTATTTATTTTTAATTTATGTATTTGGTACAAAGTCTTACTATGCAGCTAGGACTCTTAGTGATCCTCCTGTTTTCAGCCTCCCCAGCACCGGGCTTACAGGTGTGCACCACCACGCCCAGACTTGGGTCTCTGCTCAGCTGAGCCCAGGCGTGGGGCCAATGGGGCACATGAATTATTTTCAATGTGATTATCTACAGTGCCAGAAAAAAAATGACACAGTGAACCAGTCCCCATTCTTCAGACAGTTATAACTGAAATGACCTGTAGAAATAAACAGAAAGTCTAAGAAATTATAGGCTTGTGTTTAAACTTTTAGAGACTTCAAAAACAGATACATCAAAAAAAAAAAAAAAAAAAAAAAAGAAAAAAAGAGATATGACTATGTAATTTCCAGCTCCTGCATGTGGCGTTGGTGGTATAGTGGTGAGCATAGCTGTTTTCCAACTCTTCAAAAATATGGAACAAATGCTTTTGAAAGAAAAATTTTATATACTTCAAACTGCTTTATTTTTATTAACTTAATATATAAGAAAGATCTTTCTTTTTTTTTTTTTAATTCTAAAGCATAGAGAAGAAAACATGGAAATGAAGAAAATGTGAACGTGTCCTTCAAAGAAGAACTCACTGTTAAGGCTTTTCTCAAAATATTTGACATTTCCTTTTGGGATGACTAGCAAAAGTTTTAAAAACAGACCACCCCCACCTCACAGATACACTTGATATTGCCTGTTATGAAATCTTGAGCCTAAATAAAGAGAAGCAGATAGCCCTACATTCTTCACTGGGAACAGCTATCTCTGAAACTGAGAGAAGTTAGTCCTTTAAGTTAGCTCATTTCTTCCATGTAATTTAGAAGTCTACTATTACTTTCATTACCATTTACTTGATAAATTAATAAAAACTTACACCATCTCTGATGATCAAGTTTTGCACTTCAAAACATATAAAGGACAGCAATCCTTATAAACACTGATTTGAGTGGAAAATGAAGAGTAAAAGATAAAGAGAAAACACACAAATGTACTGTAGATTATGTAGCCCTTCCTTACAGGCCTCTTCTCACATTTTTCCTAGTTGTAATCTAAACAACATGCCATAATTTTTCCATTCAATCGCTTTGAAGATTCTACAGATGTGCCCTGAATTCTAAAGGAAGCTTCATGGTATCCAAAGGTCCTATGTATCAAAACCCACCTGTCCCCTCTCAACAAGTACCTCTCCTAACCAAGACTATTCACATTTTTCTCTTTCCCTTTGAGTATGTATTACTACCAATTTTGCGTTTACTGTTGTTATGGCTATTAAGATTACCTTTTAATACATGCCTGAGACTCCTTGGTACCCACTAATTTTCATGTTGGTATTTATTATGGAAGGGGTTGTATCACCACTATTTCTAGATTGCAGGAACTTCAGTTGGGTCTATCAGCTGCACAATATTTGTCTTTAGCACTAATATTTCATTTTCACTTGAAGTCCAGTAAAAAAATTACACAAAAATAAAAGAATTTAATTTGAAAAATGTGCTTGCTTTGCAGCACATTTTGAAATACTAACTTTGAACACATTTGTGCCAGAAACACATTCTCTTTACTCCTCATAAAACTTGCTACTATAGAACTCAATGTAATATCATTCTTTATTAAGAATAGTACAGTGATGTAAATTTCCTAATCATATAAGTAAAATGTTTTTTAAAAATGTCTCTAATGACAGTTTTATTGATATTCTTACATACACTTCCACAAATCTCCACAACTGGAAATTCTAAGAGCAATGTTGTATTCTCTCATTCATTTCTTTCCTCAATCATCACTATTTCTCGAGTGTACTATATGTAAGTCACTGTCTACAATAAGATATGGACAAAATATTTATCTTGGCCACTATGGAGTCTATACCCCTGAAAGAGAGACAGACAAAAGAACATGAGCCAATAATACTTTAACTTAAATGCTATGAAGAAAAAGGATGAAAAAGAGACAGATAGGAGGAGGAGCTATTTTAGAAAAGTCAAGTAACAACCCTTTACATTTTCACACCTGAAATGAAACATGAATGATGTTTATTCTCATGAGGATCTCCAGGAAAGCACTGACGGCAGAGAAAGCAGAAACTGGAATTCTGTGAAGTGAGAATTCAAGGAACAGAAAGGCCAGGTATCCAGAGCAGAGTAAACAGCGCTGCAGAATACAGTTTCCCCCAATAAATGCAAAGAAATATTTCTGAAATGAAAACATTACTAACCCCTACATATATTTCCTGAGAACTGCTGCACGTAAGTAGAAGAAAGTAACAAACTGCCTTTCGGTGTGGATGAGGTGATACTGATAGACTCGCCAGTCGTGAGGCTCAAGATTCATTCTCACATTACTCAGGCACAGAAATCTTTTTCAAATGAATACACAGAAACACTATGATATTCCCTGACATTTGGGGTGTCATGTAGGGTAAAAGTAAAAATAAACAGGCATATAATATTGAATTTGTAATTTATAAGCATTTTACTACTATACTACACTGAAAATATTTTTGACTTTTAATAGTTGTGTAGTTAGCATTTTTCTGTATCACTTAGACCATATTTTTACAACACAATAAACACATGCCTAAGCGATTTCCAGTAGTGAAATAAGCTAAGAAAGGTCTGTATTGCAAGATTCAGGTTAAAAAACCAGCATCTACAAATAGATTTAATGAGTATACTTACTTGTTAAAATACATAAAAGAAAAAGATACTCAGTATAAGAAATCACACCTAGAAGAGAAAATAGTACTAATTATACTATATGAAATATTATTTTATATGTATCAAAGTAAAGACAAACACCATGAATAGTTTATAACTTTAAAGTTGATATTAAATATTGTTCTAAGTGAGAATTAGCAGTATAAAAACACTGTAAAAGAAGCAGCACAAATTTTACTTTCATTGTTCTATATGTTACTGTAGAGCTGTATACAAAATCCTCATTAAGGTGCTCAAATATATTGGGAAGAAATCAAAATAATAATGTGTAGTTATAGCTGTAACTTTTAAACTTGTTACTAGTTTTTTAAGTATGAATTTGACATAAAAGGTCAAAAATGGATAATACTAAGCTTAATTACTTATGAACAGTTGAATGAAATATTTAGATATTCTTGCTTAGAAATTTGATTTTGTATTCATTTAAAGTTTATATTCACCAGTATGCTGGTGAATACAAATTATCATTTATTATTCTGATAGAGAATGCTTTTATTAAATATAACCTTAACTTTTATATCAATTGAATGGATTACAGTATACATACCCTGAGTTCCCTATAAATCTGTAATTACAAACTTTAAAAGGAGATTGGTTGAGGTAAATAAAAATATACATCCTGTTGCTTGAATTTTGCCTTTGTACTATAAACCCAAAACTAGAATTAATGGATTTATTGACACATCCAAGGAGATACAGAGATAATTAAAATTAGGAATAAGTCTATAATACTTATCTAGATAGCACATAATTTGATGTTTGGTAAAAGAGTATAAAAATCCTTAAATAATCAGATTGTGAACATTAAATCTCTATTTTATCTGATGTTCTTTGAGGTTACCCTATTTGTTACAGAACAAAGAGAAGAGGAGTCACTGTTTGGCAGTTTGTCAAAGAAATGACGGGAACTAGCAAGGAGGCTTTGAAAGCATTCTCTTCTTTTGTTTATACTAGAATATTGTGACCTATAGACAGACAGTTTTGGTTGATCGCCATGAATGTTATGGGAGAAAGACTCTGAAATGGTCAAGGTATATAAGGACACAATACTTGGATTCCATAGGGATCTGTCAAAAAGGGGAAAAAAAAAAAACATAAATGCAAAAGGACGAAAGGGAAATAGGACCAGCAAAGGACCTTGCTTTCTCCACAATCCTATGCCACTGACATGCTCTAATTCATATGATAGAATACTCAAGAGTTTCTGGTTGGTATAAGGAATTTTAATAACTGCTATTCATTTTTTGTATAATAACTCAAGATTTGACAATTAACTTGAGATTTTCCCCATGTGAGGGTGGTTACTTAGAGTAAAAATCTTGATAATGATTATGGTAGGCACTTATCTGTAGGACTACATGGTTAAAGAAGTGACTTAATGCACAAGGAGGGAAACTAAAGTGATACTCATGACATAATTTAATAAGAATGGTAAAAGAACAAATACTGAAGGCAAATTTTAAATTCTTAATGCCTTCCAATTACAAAAATGAAAAACTATAAAATCTTCAATTTATTTAGGTTTAGTCATCAAAGAAAAATTAAAATGAATTCTAAAATAAAAATGAAGGGCTGGCCAGATAGCTCAGCAGACTAAAGTGCTTGTTTAGGCAGAGCATAACAGCTGGGGTTTGATCCCCAGCAGACCTGCCCCTGGGGAATGTTGAGACAGTGATTGAGGTGGGTGTAGTGGCATGCGCCTGTGATCCCAGTGCTTGGGAGGTTGAAAACAGGAGGATCACTATGAGTCCGATCTATGCAGTGAGACCCTGTAGACCCTGTACTAAACATATAAAAGTAAATAAATAAAATAAAAATGAACACTAAATTTAATGAATACTGACCATACAATCTTTAGAAAGGAGCTACAAAAAATATGAGCTAGGTTTCTTTTGAAAATTCAGTTAAAAAAAATTAAGGGAACTTCTTTAAAAGTCTTACATAGTTTAATTTTTCTATTATGATATATTATAAATATTATAATATAGATATGATATATCATATTAATATTATGGATAATATGTTATATCTGTAATTAAATCTATGTGAAATCTTTTCATAAGTATTATATATTTTTAAAAGTGTAGGGGCTGGGGAGATAGCTCAAGCAGCATAAGTACCTGTCTGGGAAGTTCAAGATTTGAGTTCGATCCCCAGTACAAAACAAAACAAAACAAAAAAGAAGGGCAATGGGGTATAACATTTTCTTTCTGAGTAATGTTTTAAGCAAATAACTTTTTTCATTTAAAAATTAATCTTTAACATTTCTAAAGGCATACCTTCAAAATTATGCTGCCACTTAATTTCTCTTTCAAAGCCAGAAATCTGTATTTCTGTACTTCACCAACCCACAGGAACCTAAAGGTTCTAATGGAATCACTGATTGCCTTGATAATTTGATCAGGATGATACAGATTCAAACAATACAGTGGGGCCACTGGCCAAGTATAGCTATTTAAATTTAAGTTAACAAGGGGCCACGGAGATGGCTCAGTGGAATAAGTGCTTCCTTGGCAAGCGCAAGGGCCTGAGTTCAATCCCTGGTTCTGGGAAGGAAAAAAAAAATTTAAGTTAACCAAAATTAAAAGTTCTGTTCCTGAGACCAGCCACATTTGGCTAATCCCAAGATAGCACAGAAATTGAACATCTCCAGCACTGTAGATAGTTCTATTGGACAGTGCTAAAACAATCTCCCCTGAAAAAAAAATCATGAGCAGGACTTCCAGGATAAGCCTTTTTGTTAACTAAAAATAATTTTTTCTTCCATATTTTAGTTTTTCTCATATTTGGTTCATTCTGTATTTTCTCATGAGGTATACAAAGGGAAAATTTTGAAATTCATTCTACTTACCTGCTTCTTTGGAGCACTGAATATCACCCTAAAATCTAAATGGCAATCATTAAGACAACTTCCAGGAAAAAGTTTCTAAGAATGTTTTAACAAATCTTGGCACATATTTCTCAAACCTTTAAAAAGCAAAGTTAGGAAATAACTACGATGAAAGATACAGTGTTTTAGATTCTATGTGAACCAGCTGGAAGTAACATGAACTTCTTATTCTACTTAGATAAAATATATGAACTGTAACAGTTCCTTTAAAGTATCTGTCTTATAACCACTAAGAAGACAATAGTACGCAATGTATTAATTATTGAAACTGTCCTACTAATTGGCTTTGAAACTGTCTGCTATTTGTTTCTCAATAAAATTATTAGAAGAAAAAAAGCATGAACTCAAAAAAGAAGTATTTGTCTTCATGCTAGAGTAAGTATATTTTGAAACCAATACTGACTGGTTCACATTGATGAAAAAGAAAGCTTTAATTCTTTAATCTTTGTATATTCTTATATTTGAGAATATAAATAAGAATATACACCTAGGAAATATTCTATTTTAAGATTAAGGATATTTTATTAGTCATTTTTTCTATAAATAGATAAAAACATACACCACAAAATAAAACTACAATAAAAGCCATATACTATTCTGAGTACCAACACATGTATGAATTAACAAATTAGATACATGGGTACTGATAATACAGTTAAGTTGAAACAAGCAGATTTTGCAGTGAGTATTGCCTATAAAAGGAACATGTTTAAATTTTGCTGCCAAAAGACACACCTAAGAAGTTTTCTGTATTGATTAAATTCAGGAATATCTATAATTCTGTATAAGTAAATGGAAGGAAGAAAAATAGAGATTGAAAGATGTAGTATTTTTGAAGAATACTTTCTATGGCTAACTATACTCTGTATTTCATTATGGTTAAGGGGTATTGTTTTAAACTATAGAAGTCCACATTTTTATAAAAAATGTGAAATGTAGGACTATATAACACAAAAATAAAAACTGCCTTAATCATAATTCTCAAAAATGGTATTTTACTACCCAGAATCATTTGTATTTTATATTTTTCAGGTTTTTTTCTATGCATATCACATGTATAATTTCAGAATTATGGGGGGGGGACTACCTGCTCGGGCTCCACCTCCTGTCCCTCTCTCGGAGAGCAGCTTTCTTTCCCCCAATAAATACATTCTGCTCATAAAAAGTAATAATTTCAGACTTACTTTGTGTATGGGAAAATACACATATATGATGGTATAAATAACATAGTGTCAATATTAAAATGCATGTATTAATGTTAACTTACCTCTTTCTTTAAGATTTCGAAATAGCTTTGATGATCCCTTCCAAACTGGTGGTGTTTCTGAGAGCATCTGACTTAATTCCTATGACAGAAGACATAATTCTGATTGATAGGTAAGCCATTCTAAGACAGATTTAAAATTAAATATTCATTTTAATTATTCCATAATTATGGAAAATCTCCATATTTGAAAGTCATAAAATGTGGCATTATCATATATTATGCCTACAGTTCATTCAACAAAAAACCAGCATTTATCCACATGGCCTATATAAATAAACACTGACAATATTATATTAAATTAGAGCTACCTAAAATTTCAGATAAATTCCATAACCAGAAGTGTATACAGATAAGTCAACCAAATTTCAATAAAGAAAAAGTTCTCCTTTAATTGCTGGAGCCTGTTAAAAAGCTATAGTTTTATGAAAGCTGACTTCACATTCTTTTTTGTAGCACTCTTAGATTTAAAGGATTCTGAGTAGAGGACATAAATAAACAAAGGAATAGGAAGGAATGAAGATTGTTTTAATGTCAATTCAAAGATAATGACACTGGATGAAGTAGGAACAGGGGTATTAAGTTATTGTAACTTCCGTTTTTTTTTCTAATTTTAAATAAAATATGGAGTAAAGAATATAGATTTCAACTGCTGATTATTTTCATATTTTTAAAAAACTCAAAGTACTATGCCTAGTAGGAAACAATTTTAATGGAAAGTTTAGAGATTTGAATCATCACAGTCTAGTATATCCTTAAGAATTTTTGTAATGCTGGCTTGGTGGTCATGAATTTAAGGTGCTCATTGTTAATATAATAAACTAAGTTTTAATTTTTTGTGCATACTTTGTGCACATAAGTGAAAATTGTAACTTGGTTAGTCTCCTCAGTACTTTAAGAAAACCTTTCCTGGTAAGCTGCACATAAAAATGCTCTGTGACATTTATAAATAATCATTTTTAATTGCAAAGCTACAGCAGCGTAAAAACAAGGGGATCCCGAGGATGTAAAAGACAGGAACATTTTAAGGGGAGTTATAGATACACTGAAGCTCATTTGTGAATTTTTTCATTCATTTCCATTATGGTACTATGTCTGCATTGCAGGCAAGAGATGCTACAGGTGAGAAGTTCTTCCTGAATTTCTTCCTATTAATGGTAGAGGTAAGGCTTCAGATATGAATAATAATGAGAAACTTGTATATTTACTGTCTAGATAAAAGTAAAAATCTTTTTATTGGAGTAAGAGATTTTAAAAGAGTATTTAAATGAATATTAAATGAATCTTCCTCTTTAAATGAATACACTTATATTGCTTAACTTATATAATCAGTTGTATAAAAATGTATTTCTTGACATTTAAATGTCTTTAACTGGATTTGTTCCAGCTTAAACTCCTCTAGAGTTTAAGACTAAAATAAATCACAGTTACCTTTGAGGGTCCTCTATCTGATCAGCAATGGACTCACATAGTATGGTATTTTCTTTCTTTTTAAAAAATCCTTATTATGCATATTTTCCTGAAAATTAAAAGTGTGTTAAGTATCTGTCTCACTCAAGGTCATACAGCTAGTAAATGAGATACAGCTTTACTGAACCAAACAGTTTATTTTAGTAATAATCTAGTTCTGTGGTTTAGATTACCAAATTGACACCATTTAAACTATTTTCTTCAGATTTTAAGGACTTAAAATTTACTAAAATCTTTTTTTTTTTTTTCGGAACCAGGGATTGACCTCAGGCCCTTGCGCTTGCTAGGGAAGCGCTTATTCCACTTACTCCACTGAGCCATCTCCCTGGCCCCTATTAAAATCTTAACATTTCCATTTACACTGAGAATCTTATAATGATTATCCTGGGTTCTTATATATAGTAGTGCTTTATAAAAAGGAATTGGGGCTTTGTCCCTGGTTTCTGGGAGGGAGAATCTAATTCCCTGCATGATATTTGAGTTTAGAAGGGGAAGATGACTAAAGTTGGCAGCTGGTCATCAGAAAGAACAACTGCAATTACAAGATTGCGGGTAATCTTGTAATCGTATTGATCCAGCTGGACCTCTTAGGAGAGGAAAAGTCCTAGAGATTGAATTCAAGTGCAGGGCAATGATTCAATTATTTATGCCTAGGTAAGAAAACAACAACAACAACAATAATATTATTACAACAACAATATTATTATTATTATTATTATTATTATTATTATTATTAATTCTAGACACCAAGCTCCGTGGAGCTTACAGTTTGGTAAACACATCGATGTGCTGGGAGGGTGGCACACCCTAATTTCACAGGGAGAGGAAACAGAACCTCTTTACTAGGTGCCTCTCAGACCTAACCTTTTTATTATGTGGCCGGTTTAATTTGTATCATTTATAATAAGATTGTTATTGTTAAGTGTAATACTTTCCTGAGTCCTATGAGTCATTCTAGAAAACTACTGAACCTAAGAAGAGTTACAGGACACCCTAGATTTGAAGCCATTAAAGTCATAAGTGCGTTGGCCTAGGGACCCCTGAACTTGTGATAAGCATTAGAGATGAGGGCAATCTTGCTGGGCACTACACCCTTAAACTGGTTGTTTGACACTGGCTTTGGATGAATAGTGTCAGAATTATATTGCATATTGCAAGTAGGTAACAAATATTTATTAAAGTCAGCTTCCTGAAGTTAGAGATGCTTTCTACAGGATTTATACAATTTTATTAAGTGAATACAATTTTTAAAAATTTATGGAGTATGCTTAATATATTTATAAGAAAATTAATGAACATTAAAAAACTATAATCCAAGGAGTCTAACTTAAGTTTACTGAATATTCTTTTAATCTAATTCTTTAGCTAGGCATCTTTATATGGTGTTTCATGACTGCAAATACTAATTCATTCCTTATATATTGTTATATAATTTAATCTTTGTGATGTCTGTATGATAGGCATGCTTTCCTATCAAATAGTCTTCATTTCTATATTAGTGGCTATAAAAGTTATCTATAATAGATGAAACTCAATTCTTTCCATTCTTCACAAGATTAGGCACGCACACATTCCATTAGATTATGAGCTGTCAGGGCAGTATCATTATTCGTCATGTGGTCTCTAGAAAACTACTGTACACACCTGACAGAATGAGAGTGACTAAAACAAGTATCTTCTCAGTAATGATTACAATGACTTTGACTTCACAGATCTTTGAAAAGTTCTCTGCATTGTAAAGAATGGGTCATTTGTATTATTCTTCAACCTGTTGTTTTACTCAAGAGTTTCCAAGCTCTAGTCACAGTTACACATATGGTTCTCATATGCGTATTGTTTTATTCTGTATTTCCATATTTATCTTTGGTATATTTATTCACAATGTTATCTACTTTCCTAATGACTGAAATTTATATTGTTTCTAAATTTGTAGTTAATATAGTCAGTACTTTAGGAAACATGACTAGAATTCCTAGTGTAAATATGCAAACATTTCTCTAGCACACATATGTAGGAGGATTTCCAATAAACATTTTAAATTTTATTGGCAAAAGTGAAATTTCTCTAAAAAGTAAACATACCAATTTATTTTCTCACCTAATTTATTCTGATCCTTTTTATTATTATCAGAATTTTCAGATTCCTGGAAGCTAGCAATGTGGGGGCCATGAAATAATACAGTATTACTAGTTTAATTTGTATAGCCCTAGATGCTAGTAATGTTGAGGTCTTTTAAGTAAATTTATTAGCTATTGTAGCTGTGTTTGTTCATTTTTTACTTTCTGTTTTATTCTTTCTTTTTTATTTTTTTCAGTAACATAGCCCAGGTGAGTCTTGAACTCACTACACAGCCCAGACTGGCTTAAACTTTTGATCCTTAGTCTCTACTATGTTGGGATTATAGGTATGCCGCACCACACTGGTTGTCCATTTGTTGAGCTTATTAATTTTTATATTTATTTATAGAAGTTCTATAAGTATGACTGTAAGTCATTATTCTTAATAATTTGTTCTATAATATGCTGAAACATTTTCACATGCATGATATATCTTTGACACCATTGATACTTTCTTTGCTGCCAAGATTAACATTTAATTTAGTAAAATATGCCAATAATTTCCATTTTGTCTATGTCTCATCTAAAAAACCACCTCTCATTTTTTGCCTTCAGTCTTTTGGAATATTTTTCACAAGTGAGAACATAATCCATGCAAAATTAACTTTGGTACATGGTGGTGGGTGGTATTGAGGTTTAATTATATTTGCGTCCATACAGAACATCCATTATTCTAATGACTCAGGAAGAGGTCATATTTTTCTACAGTGACTTACAGATTTCCCATGAATCCTAGGATCTATTTATGGATTATACATATTTTACTATCTTCATATTTTATTTTAAAAGTGATTGTATTATACAATTTTATTTTAATTATAGCTCTATTAGTATCAATATGCAACACAGTCATGTATTCTCATCTCAGTGGACTCAGAACTCTAAATATTCAGAACTATTCTAAGTATTTTGGGACTGCTGCCTATACAAAGGAATTTAAAAAGTTAAATCCTAAATAAATTCTGTTTTTAATTACAGTTATAAAATGTTTAGACATAGATTTGAAGAAAATCAATATCATTAAGAGATAGGTTATCATTCATGAGCATGGAGTCATTGTTCTAAAAGTGAAATTTAATAATGTATTTCATACTTTGTTAGGAATACTGGTAAGTAACAGTTCTTGCTGCTGTTATGAAAAGTGTGTGATATTGTTGGTGAGATGCACAATGCCAGCATATTAGTAACTTTGTTTCATTGATCTTATAGATAACAGAAATCTTGGTAAAAATTTTTACTGAATTTGACTAAATTTGAAATGTTTGCATTTTCACACTTTTCTCTCATATTGTCTGCTATTATTCTAAATCTTAAGTCTCTCTCTTTTTAAGTATTTTTGTTACATAATGTGTTATGACCTAAATTCTGTCTTCTGCCCCTTCAAATTCAAATTCCTATACACCTTCTAATGTGATCCTTTAAGGAGGCAAGGCTATTATATGAGACCATTAGAATGGATCCTCATCTAATAGATGGACAGCAGCAGGTGGTAGGAGGTGGGAAGTGACTGAAGCAATGGTTACAAAGGTTCCCAGGGAGCTAACACTATCCAACAGGTTGTACTCTATGATTAGCACAGATTAGACTAATCACTACCTTAGTGGGAAGCCTCACTGTGTTTGGGTTTGGATTCTACATAATAGTAGAATTTCTTCCAGTCAAGAGTTCTTTGGCTTGCACCAGGGTAGTAGGAGGATACTGGACCAGTTAACTAGTTTTTCAAAATGCTGTTGTAGATCTGATAAATGTATTGAGAGACTTCAGGAGCTCTACATTTCTTTGACAGCATATAATTGGGGTTTCCTGGTTGGATGCGTAGCTCAGCCAAAATCCAAATGCCATAAACTTACTAGGTAGATGTGCATGCAGTGTTGTGGAATTTAAACCCAGGCATGGAATTTCTTTTGATATTGTATGTACAGCTTCAGTTTCAGTAAATGATACCAAGTTCTTTCCCCAAAGAGAACATATCAATTTGTGAAATTTATCATTAATTTTCATTAGTCCTTAGAAGAGCCCACCTTTTTATATTTTGACCATCTGCAGGGTAAAACAAAGTACCACTATCTAATTTTTTTATTAGTACATGTCTATAGTACATGATGATTACATTTATCAAGCGGAGATCATACATGTCCATTATACATCTAAGTTCCTTTTCTGTTCCCTTGCACTCCCATTCCTCTGTTTCTTTCAACTCTTACTTCCCTTCCCCTTTACAAAAGCTCTATTTCCATTTTTTCTTCAATTTCCTTTTAATCCCTTCTTTCCCTCTTCCTATTTTTTGTTCCCTTTACACTTTGAAAAGATCTACCTACTTCCTGTTATCAATCTGCTACTTTGCTCTTTATATTTTGGGTTTATTATGTAAGAGAATGATGAAAATTTATTTATACACAACAAAGCACTACTTTGCCATAAAGAAGGATAAACATGAAACATTTGCAGGTAAATGGATGCACCTTGACACCAAACTGTTAATGAAATAAATCTGACATACAAATTTAAATAATATGATCTGATTTTAATTGCAAAAGTATATATGTAATATATATGTATGTATGAATGCATGTATGATATATACATGCATGCATATGTATGCCAAGAACTTTAACTTACCTGTTTGGAAAGTGACTTCCACGTTTTAGCAACTAAAATAAATATAAAATAATTAGATAATAAATACATCATGTAATGTATATCCATATTTAGTAACTATCTATAACCATGACTCAAAACCAAACTTTCATGTCTTGAAAGTAAATTTTTTAACCTCAAAATTTGAATCTAACATACAATTTTATGTCTCTAATTTGCTTCGTTAGCTATTAACTGTCATACTAAGAAATATTTAGCAGAATAGTACTTTTTAATAACTGTGTTACCATATTTGTGGCTAAATGACAGGTAGAGGAGATAAAGTGAGAGTGAAACTCTTGCCCTTTTTATTCTAGTTCCCTACAACTGTTCAAGAAGCATCTTGGAATAAGAGTGCTATAGCTGAGTATGTGGGTTCAAATTCTTTTTCTGATTCTTCTTTATATCCTGGAAGGTCTGCGACATTATGCATTCTATAATGTTGGGCTAAATGTGCAGTTAATGCTGCTGTTTCTTGTCAGGCAGGCGCTTATTCTACTAAGCTTTCTCTCCAGCCCCACTGCTGCTGTTTCTTTTGTTCAGATATAAACAATATAAATATCTCACACCTGCCAATGAACAATCTCCAGGTTGGTATAGTACATGATAACATACCTGTAACACAGATGCACTGGGAGAACTTGTAAATAATATTTTACTACATTGCAACAATGACAACTGATATATTTTCTGCATGGCCATGGAACTATTTCTGAATAATTAATAATATCAAATTCAAAATCATAAGAAAGGTATTTTTTCTATGCACTTTTTCTAAAGTAATACAAAACACTTTATGATTAAAGTCAGGAAATAAGTTTTTAAAATTTAGCAAATTAGCCTGCCATTGTGGGGCATGCCTGTAATCTCAGCACTTAGAAAGCTGAGGCAAGTGGATCGTTGCAAGTTAGAGACCAGTCTGGGCTACACACTGAGATCATGGCCAGCCTGCACTGCATAGAACTGTCTTAAAAAGACAAACAAATAAACAACAACAAAAAAAAACCTTCAAAATTTTGCAAATTGACTTTCATGGAGATAGCTGTGTCTCCTATGTTGTAACATCCTTGACCCAAGGTAGTTTATGTAAACATGTAATCAAGTGATAAAATTCACAGGTCTGTAAATTAGAATTTGGCATATAAACTTAACTGTGTAGACTGTACACATTCATTTCATAATGACTTTCTGTCTAACAGTGTAAATAATACTTATGATTATGTTGCTCTTGAAATGCAGCAGTAAAAAAAGAAGAAAAATAAACGGCACAAAAGTAAATACTAATACATATTTATCACATTTGATAATCAAAGGAACTGTAAATCTTACCATAGCCTCACATTACTTTTAAAAAGAACTTTACTTAATTTCTAGCCTTTTCTATCATTATTACCCTAACACTCTCAACATGCATGCTGTGAACACACTAATAGTCCATTGACTTAGTGTTTCTTCTCTCACAGTTCACTCCACTTTAGACACTATCCTCATATTCTCTAGTCAGAATAATTTTTAAAAATGTATTTCAATGGGTTACAGTCATACATGATCAAGCCTCTCTCAAATTCCATGGGTGCTAAATGTTCTTTTTGTTTAGCAATCAAATGTTATCTCAGAGTCTCTGACATTCACTGTTTTCTTCATCTGCTCATCATTCCTACAATATAATTTTTGCCTAATTCACTCCACTGAAATACCATTTTTAAAAATCATCAATGCCTTTCATCATATTACTTCATTTTTCTATCCCATCTAACTTGACTTGTGAGCATGCCATTCAACTTTTCCGACCTTTTTCCTTAACTTCTCTGATTTTACATTCTTCTGATTCTCTTTTCAAGGCTGTCAACAGTTTTCTGTGTCTTTTTAAGGCTTGTCCTTTTGGTGTTTTTTTTTTGGGGGGGGGGTTGCTTGTTTTTCTTTTTTTGTGGTACTGGGGATTGAACTCAGGATCTTGCACTTGCCAGGCAACTGCTTATTCTACTGAGCTATCTCCTTGGCCCTAAGGCTTGTCTTTTTCAACCTTTGTATGTTCATCCTTTAAAGTGTAGGTATTCTTCAAGGATTGGTCATTGGTCATCTATACTCTCATTCTCTCTTTTTTTTTTTTTTTGAAACTTTTTTATTGTAAAATTTTTCTAAGTTTTTTTATTACATAACTTTTATTAATTTTATTGAGAAAAAATTGCAATGAGACAGTTTCAAATAAGTTTGGTACGATAGTTACAACAATTAATACATTGCATATTATTGTCTTTGTAGTAGTCATTCATAGCTCAAGATGCCGACATGATATCCCGTCCAAAAACTATTAGTACAAATCTTTCTTCTTATTGAATTAAGAGAAAGTGGCTATATATCTATCCTAACAATTCTGTATATACAGATACAAAATTGCCCTTCATTTATATCTCCTTTTTATGTTTAGTTTTGTCAGAGATGGGGATTCCATTGCTATCCAAGTATTGTAGGTGCATGAATTCAGCAAAATATTCCAATATAGTCCAGTAGTCCACAATAGTAGTGGATCATCCAAAGGACTGGCAATGTCTGAATCTGTTGACTTGAGTCTTCCACAGCTCTACATTACTGTCATTCTCATACTACACTGTTTTATTAGGCAATTTCATCCACACAGATTTCATTTTCAGTTATACACAGATGAATATTTTCCCTTGATCTCCAGTGGAAATTACCCAGCCATTAGAATTAATCAATTAAAAATAATTCATCAAAAGCTAGTCTGCAAGGAATCCAACTTGCCAAATTATTGAGGATTTATTTTAAAGCTTAGTTTTATTATAACATTGCCTCTGGTGAAAAAAATGATTGTAATTGTTTCAATCTAGTTTAGAGTATTTAGGTGACAGTGTCAAGGAAATCAAACAATTAGGCAATACAGGTTTTTGATGAGATGTTTCTCAGTGAAATCTAATTGCCTGGTCTTTTACACATCTCAAATGCATTGGATCCAAAATTGAAATAGTGATTTTCTACTCAAACCTTAGTCCTACTATCATCCTTCAAGGTAAGCCAGCCAGAAACCCTTAGTGCTTTTGCTGTTTCACCACACTTTGGAAGCTTCTGAGACCTCATTAACAGGCAAGTTGTACTACAGCAACAAGGAAGAATATCCACAATTATCAGAAAGGCTATTAAAATATTCTTTACTTTTCTACTATCTATATATTCATATACTTCATGAAAACATATTAAATAATATAAAATACAAAATCACAAGTGAGAATCCAACTGTCTTTTATTAAGTTAGATATTAAAAGATTATGTAAAGTGTGTCCAATGTCAAAAAGTTTGAGAACACTTGTTCTGACACATGGAAAAGTGAGAAGCAATTATGCCATATTTAACAATGTAGGATCTAGACAAATACAGAAGAGATATAAGTAGAAATCTTGACCAAGGCTAATTTTAAATTCATTCCTCTGAATTACTCTGTTCAGATTGGGTATAAAAATGAACAAGCATAATACAACTCTCTTAGAATACCAAACTTAAGAGCACTGAAGCTTGGTATATGTCAAAACAGCAACAACTGAAAGTTTCTGAAGAGAAGAGAGATGAGTACAGGTTTGTATGAAATAGTAGTCTGGTAACACTGTGCAGCAATTGCCTATTTGAAATACATTATTTTATTAGCTATTCTAAAACTGTACTCTGCTCAGTATTTTTATAAAGTGGAAGAATAAAGTTTGGAAAAATTATTAAGACAATTTAAAATATATACTTACATTTGGGCTCATCTGTTGTAACAGCCAAAATAAAATCATATGGTGTCATGAATAACTGCCCTTCACATTCTATAGAAGCAAATAAACGAAATCGCCTCTCTCGAGATGTAGCATACAGGTCTAAGTCTTCAATATCCGTTCTTCCAACAGCAACCTAAAGTTAAGAAAACAAATAAACTGGACATGCAAAATAATACTCTCTTCTGCAAGATAAATACTTTTAGTTACATTAAAAGTAAATTAATCAACTAACTAAAAAAATATAAAATAAAAAAATTCTGTCTTCTGGATACCCTTAGTAATTTTATAAAAATAAATTGCTCACAGAATAATTTGTGATTTTTCTAGGGTGTTTATTTATTTATTTGGTACAGGGTCTTGCAACACAGCTCAGACTCATAGTGACTCTCCTGTCTCAGCCTCCTCAGCACTGGGTTTACAGATGTGGCCCACCACACCATTTCAGGGCTGGCTCAGTGCACCTGGTATTTCAGGCCAGGCACAGCATGCAGTACTGGGGATCAAACCTCAGTCCTTGTGCTTGCCCAGCAGGTGCTTAGACCATTGAGCTATCTCCCCAGAACAGCTATTTCCCCAGCTCTAGGGTGTTTTCTTGAATTTTAGCTATTAAAAAACATTAAATTACAAAGTTTGTAATATCTTTAGACACAACACCTACATTTGCTGAATACTTATTAAGCACTATATGTTAGCTTATGTATTTGATTAGAAGTCTATCACTAAAGTCCAAAAAGAAGAAAACTAAAAGCCAAATAAATTGTTCATGACAATTACTTAGGACATCATGTAGCAGTAATGTTTAGAGTTGAAAGTGCTAATTATAGGTGACTATAACATAGTCATCTACCAATGGCCATTCTGAAATTAGCATCAAGATTATTAAAATTGAGGGCCAGGGAGATAGCTCAGTGGAATAAGTATTGAGTTTGATCCCTGGTACCACAAAAAAAAACCAACCCCCCCGCAAAAAAAAAAAAAAAATGAACAGAAGAAAGAACTACAGTTCCTGCTACCCAACCCTGGCGGGACCTACAGGTCCAAGCCCAAGCCCAATGTGGGTGAGACCCTCTTCCACCCCCTTGGGACACCACCCCCACCACGCCCTCCCAGTAGGAATTTCTGCCACATTCCAGGAACCCCCAGATTTAGTCCTAGCACAGGCCCAGTGAGTAAGAGAGCTTCCGGCTACCCTAAGCTGGCGGAACCTGCCTGTCCAAGCCCAGACGCAGCGTGGGTGAGACCCTCTTCCACCCCCTTAAGATTCCACCCACCACTCATCAGAACCCCACCCTCACCCCGCCCGCAGAGTGAGAATTTCTAGGGACCCCCAGATCCAGTCCTAGCCCAAACCTGGTGAGTGTGTGGGAGAGCTTCCAGCTACTATGCACCAGCTTCCCTGCGCCTGCGGGACCTGCAGGTCCAAGCCCAGGTGCACAGTGGGTGAGATCCTCTTCCACCCCATTGGGACCCCTCAAATCACTCTGCAGCACCCTCTCCCCCAGCCCACCCACCCAGTGAAAATTTCTGCAGCATTCTAGGGACACCCAGATCCAGTCCTAGCCCAGGCCCGGTGAGTGTGTGGGAGAGCTTCCTGCTAGCCTGCACCAGCGGGACCTGCCGGTCCACGCCCAGGTGCAGAGTGGATGAGACCCTCTACCACTCCCTTGGTATCCCACAATCTCTCCAAAGCACCACCCCCCGCAACCCTACCGCTGAGTAGGAATATCTCCCACATTCCAGGAACCACCAGATCCAGTCCTAGTCCAAGCCCAGTGAGTGTGTGGGAGAGCTGCCTCTCTCCTCTACTCTACCTTGTCCCCTCCAGACTCAGCTCAGGCCTGGCATACAGGACTGGGGTGAAACCCTGCAGCTGCAATCCCTGCAGAGAGAGTAGGGGACAGAACCACCCAGCTAGGCCAGAAGCAGAAACATCTTGCCAGAGGGGCACAACAGGTTCACTCCCAAGAGCAGCAGCAGGAAGGAGCTGAGCACAGCAGCCAGACCTAAGGCAGGCACAGCTGGATAAATTCAAACTTTTTAGATCTGCATCTGAACTTCAGTAAGGTTTTCACTGCACCAAAGCTCTATAACAAAGGTCTGAAGACAGTGCTATACAAAATGAAAAAAAGAAGGAGCAAAATGCAATCTGAGACCCCAAGCCCAGCCATAACAGTGCAGAGGACACTAACACAGAATAAATTGGGAACCACACAGCTGAACTCAATGAATCAACAGCTTCTGAAATAAAGAAACAACTCCACAAAGGTATAGAGGAACTCAGATTGGAAATGAAAAAAGAAATCCCTGATTAATAACATCTGCAGTATAGAATCAAATGCAGAAACATATGGAGGAAACCCAATGCCCACACAGAACAAGTGCAGAGGAAACTAGCTCAGCTGAAATGCATGAATTAATAGGGTCGATAGTAAATAAGCAACAGCAGAAAGTAATAGAGGAACTCAGAGCGGAATTCTGTTGTAAAATAAAAAAATAATTCTCTGAACTCATAGCATCTGAAGTAAAGAATCAACTACAGAAACATAAAGAGGAAACCCAATCTGAAAAAAACTCTGCAGTAAAAGAATTAATAACTGTTTCTAAAGAAGACATTAATAAAAAAATAGAGGAGATAAAAAAATGACGGATTCCTTGAACGAACAATACAGGAAAGAAATAGATCACATGAAGCAGAGTCAAAGAGATATAGAGGAAATTAAAATCTCAATCACAGGCTTGCAAAATGATTTGAGTGAAAGTGAAGACACAGTTTCAGATCTTGAAGACACTGGGGCAGCTATTGAAAAGGTAAGAAAAGATCTCTTAAAAACAAGTAGGATGCAGGAATAAATAATTCATCATTTGCAAGACAATGCAAAGATGAACAATGTGAGACTAATAGGTATCAATGAGAAAGAAGGAGTCAATACAAAGGACATTAAAAAAATATGGGCAGAAGTAATAGCAGAAAACTTCCCAAATATGAGGAAACAACCTGACATCCAGGTAACCGAAGCATACAGAACGCCAAGGAAACTCAACCCAATGAAAAACACACCGAGACATATAATAGTCAAGATCCCAGAAATTCGGCACAAGAATAATATACTGAAAACCACTAGAGAAAAGAAGCAGATCACATTCAAAGGAAAACCCATCAGAATTACGGCCGACTTCTCTTCACAAACCATGCAGGCAAGAAGAGCATG